ACGCCCGAGACACGTAAATGACCACGCGCGTGACTGAAGGCGCCAGACGAGAGAGGCACGACGAAAGAGTCTCTCTTTTTTCTTCTCGGGCTGCCGCCCTCGTTTCCCGCGTCTCGCGGCTTCTCCGCTCAACGCTCGCTGGCGCGTGCATCTACCTTACTAAATCTGAAGAAAAAGAGAGCCTGCTTGCAGTCTATTTCGCACCGTTTAGTGCTTCTATTATTATTGTCTTTGTGTGTCAGCTCATTCCCTTCAATGCTTAGTTAAGTTTGCCGTTTGACTCAACAGTGGAATGAAAAAAAAGAAAAAAAGTGAACCTTATCGCATTTTGTTTCGTCTCGTTAAAAGCGTGGCGTTTTATCGACACCCAAAATGATGAAGATCTGTTAAATTGAGTAATAACTATGTAGTGCTTATGTAATACTACGATGTTACCGAGGCGAAGTTGTAACTAATACTTTTGATTGGACCTGCTTACCCAGTTCGTGCTTTTATTTTTCCGATCAATCAGTGCCTCAGGTTTCTAATGGGAGAGAAGGGGAAATAATAAACAATTCGGAATTAATCTAGACAATCTGATATGTAAGCAAAAATACAGTTTAATTTAAGGATTCATAGCTATTTTTACTTCCTTTTTTTATTGTATTACACTTAATTTAGCATCATTTTATCGAACTTATAAAAACTGTTGGTGAAATCCACGCTTTTTGTCACTAGTTTGAGGAAAAACATAAATCTCATATGACCAAAGGCAGATGCTGGGTTGAATTTTCAATAGTGTTTGAATTTCTCTCGGAATTTCCTTTCAAAGCATCCTTTATACTCAGATAAAACTTTCTAGAAGGTTACCTCAATTTATACGGGTTTTAAGTAACATGGAATACATTTAATTCATTAAAAATGGTCGATCCAAGATGGTGCATGGTTGTAGTTCGTAATGACATCAGTGCTCAAATTTATGTGTTAGCCAACTTCTTCATCTTATCGGCAACCTTGCTATTTTTCGTTTTAATTTATGTCTACTTTGTGGAAAAGTTGAATTCTACCAATGAATTAAAAAATGTGACGTCATAATGACATCAAATTTCCCCTATTCTGGAATCCAGATTCTCTTACATGGGACAGAACAGGTACACTTACGCTGGTTGGTGATAGTTGTGGGAATTCCAGTCACCGCTGGTGGTGTTGTTACCTTAACTCCTCCGGCAACACCTTGAATTCAGAAATATAAATTTAAAGCTAAGCCAAAATTTACTCTTGCAGTATCAGCAGTATGCCTTTTGCGTAACACATATATATGAACTTCATTAATATCTCTTTGGCCTTGCTTCCGCTTCCCAAGAGCCTCTCCGCAGCAAAATGGACATAGCGTCCTGCCGGTGTTTGGGGAGGCCAAACATGTAGCTCAACAACCCATTTCCATTGACTATGACATGGTAATTATTATACCACGTTCTCAAATGATGGAATACCGATAAATGCGTTGTTTTATATGAGAAAATGACCCCTTCATCGATTTTTTTTTTTTACATTCTTATGAATTCAAATGCATGTGCAAAGCTCTCCTCCTTTGATCAATTCGTGAGCTACTTGTATTAAATAGGAAGTTTAACTGTTTATTAGTTAATAGTTCAGGAACATATTTAAAAGATAAACAGAAAACGTTTTCCCCTTATCATGATGTAGCTAGACTTACGCGTAAGTGTAATCACACGTATAGATTTGATTTATAAATATGATTTTTCATTTAATTCCTTGATTGTTAAGTGAGGGTAGCCATGAGTAAGAAAGATAATTGCACTGTTTACGAATAATTTATGATAATTATTATACATACCACATTGTTTGTACAGTTTGTTTGCCTGTTCTGCATCTATAGCACTTAAGCCTTCTCGCTGTCCAATGATATCCTGATACTAGATAAAATTTTGTCTCTGTTTGTTTCCGTTTTGACTTTTTAACATTAATTTTAAGCGGAAAATTAAGAAAGGGACTTAATCTGGAGATTTTATTGTAACGAAATGGCTAGGAAAGAATCAAATTCACATGAAACTACAGTGAAACCTGTATTAAGCGGACACCGTATTAAGCGGACACCCTCTATTAAGCGGAGAGTACCCGAAGTCCCCAAATTTATTTCCCTTATTTACTTTAAATAAAACCTTTATTAAGCCCGACCTATCCAATCGAACAGTTCTGCAATCGAACCCAATCGAACACCAATCGTTCGATTGCTGAACTCAATCAAACATAATCGAATTCACAATAAAATTTTGCCAATCGAACACAATCGAACGTTCGATTACCGAACGATTGGTATAATCGAACGTTCGATTAACGGACGCCGCATCGCATGATAGGCACGTGGTATTGGAAAATTCCGAAGGTGAAAATGAAATCATCGCTAACTCCCTTCCGCTTTTTACGCGGCTTTTGCTGAGCACTGAAACCCAGGACTGAAATGTCTGAAATGTCAAACACGGAGGAGAGGGAGGACACTGCATGTATTGAAATTACATGCAGTGTAAAAGGTTACCAAGAATGTAATTTTACTGTTGATGTGGGAGAAGAATTCTTTATCTTTAAGAAGAGAGAGAGAGAGAGAGAGAGAGAGAGAGAGAGAGAGAGAGAGNGGGGATGTGCCGCTGGGACCCTGGAACCCTTAACCTATAACAGAGCTAGTTCAGCTGAATTTTGCTACCCTATACTAGAGTAAACTCCCCAAATCCCCCTATCTTAGAGTAGCTAATTGCCTTGTCTAGATAAAATCTTCAACCAACTGATCATTGTCCTGAAAAATGATACCCTATTCTAGACCCAAACACTCTGATTTATATACCCTATCCTAGAGTAAACTGCCTGAAAACCATACCCTTCACAGCGGCACATACCTATATAGCCCATATATGGCAGTGCCCCCCCCCCGGGCCTTTTCACCGTTCATTTAAATGGCTTTTGACACTTCATATGACGTTATCTATTGAAACCTGTATTAGGCGGACAACCTATATTAAGCGGACACTACAGCATTCCCCGAGGGTGTCCGCTTAATACAGGTTTCACTGTACTTTCTTTCTTCTTTCTTTCTTTCTTTCTTTCTTTCTTTCTTTCTTTCTTTCACACTATATAGATCTATATATAAAAGGCATTTACACTAGTGTACGTAAGTAGGAGAACATAAGTAGCTGATAAATAATCATTAAGCTAAAAGACATTAACTCTGTGACAGTGTCCAAAGTAGCAACTAGAGCTTTCTTGTTGGACACGGCGGGTCATGTTCAGATAATCGGCAGCAGCAAGAGAGGAAATAAAATCTCAAATAATATCAGTAATAGAACATATAAGCAAGGCTGAAATCAGATTTGATTGAGTAGAAGATAGAACTTCCGCATTCTTCCTTAAACTTATGATACGGCAGACACTTGAATTTTGGAGCGGATAATTTAAAGGACATCTTACCTAAGTTGGTGGATACTCTTGGCCTAAAATTATTCAGTCTACTGACAAATATTATAATTGTAGCATACTAAAGAAAGTTCCAGTAGCCTGCTTGATTCACATCATATTTGAGTGTATAATTGAGTGTATTTACCACGGAAGTACCTATTAAGGACACTATTTTTGCATCTCCTTCGGGAAACGGGACCGCCATCATGCCATCATTTACATGGTCATTCGAGCCAAGCAAAGGTCTAGCCGTTTGAAGGGCAAGGGCTGTCGATCGAGCACGTCACTTCCCGCTCTGCAGCGCTGTATTGCAGGAGTCCTTCCGTGATTTAAGGCCAAAGCTTCAGTTAGAAAGTAGGATATTTTTTGCCTTCACATTAGAGCTTTATATAATTAAGTGTACTTGGAACCTACTTCAACTTTACTTGGTGACCATGGAAACGTTCGTAGTTCAATGAAGCCGATGTTCGCCGCCAAGTATTGGTTACACCACAATTGATAACACACTTGACTACTAAGAAATGGACGGGACGTGCACGATGTGGACGTGCAGCGGTTCCAAGATTCTAATGAACGGGAAGATTGACAGCTTTTACATCAAGTGATATACTTTACCAAGGGGTGTGAAGCCATGTTTTCTACAGAGCGACGTAAGATTTTCAAGTGCACTTGAATCAAGTGCTTACCTGAACTAATCGCTTCTAGTGTGAAACTAACAATTAACTAAATTGGTTTTTAGGGAATTTTGGTATAGTGTGATTTTATGTCGAATTTCGTGGCCTTTTGATTGCTGTTTTCAAACGTTCATACCATCCACCAAGGTATAGCGGGTAACATTAACTCGCGTGAAGAAATCCATAATAAATATGAAATACAGCGTATGGCCGAGATCTTCGAAACTGGCCTATAGACCGTTTCCACATCCCTCTGAACAAAGGGACTTATACTCGAGGCTCGCAATGACAAAATATAAAACATTATCTGCATAAAAACTATCGATCATCCATGTTATGTATTGAATACGTTTTAATTTTAACTGTGTGCCCACAAGTAAGGAAAGCAAGAAAGGTCCGCTATTACACCAAATACACCTTTTGTTGTTCATTACGAGAAAATGCGTAATCATTTGCGTGAAACGGCGACCAATAGTGCGAAGACAGATTCAATAGCGCGAAAATACAAACATTAGCGCATAAATCAGGTTCAAATACGATTTTTGCATTTTAATTAACATTCAATAACACTTTAGGGCATTAATATTCGTCATTCGGCGTACAAAAGAGAAAAATATACTTTCATTAACGCCAACATCAAAGTCATTTACCTTAGGATGGATAAAATCAATTGAGCGTTATATATATGTAAACGATTCTTTTGTTTCACACGTTACAAATTTGAATAACAATTATATTGTTAGTAAACAGTGATGTCTCCTATAGTATTCAAATTTGACATTAGGTAACCGCCAGCTCGATCTTGAAAAAAAAAAAACATTTTATGGTATGGAGATTATTCTAGTGATATGTAAATATTCTTATAATGTACCGTCCACATACCCCTTTCTTTTTAACCAATATTGTGGGCAATCCGTTCCTAGAGAATGCGTCCTGTGAGTAATGCATTACACTTTCGTAATCGTAACGGGTTCCAAGCGAATCAATTAGTGAATTATCGTATTTAAAAAAGTTGTGTTCTTCCCCTGAAAGAAAAACGTTTCAATCACAATTTATTGAGCAAGCAGTTAAAAAAAAATAAGTAAAAGGATAAATAAATAAACAAATAAATAAACAAATAAATACATAAATAAATACATAAATAAATAAATGAATAAATTATACATGAATAAAGACTGTATGTTGGAAGTGATATGAGTACGTGATTACTCTTATTTTTGATTCACTGTATTGACAACAGTTCCTTTTCAACTTTGGTCGATAATTTGAATTCCCTACTAACAGAGACCTCTTTTTTCTGGTATTCGGCGGGAGGGAGGAAAAGAGACCTCTGCCATGGGCCGAAACAGACAGACAGATGAAGCCGCCGTCCACTCTCGTGCACGGTGCTTTGCACAAAACACATGCTCCTTGTATTGTCTACTGACCGTTGAGTTTGAGTCTCTTTTCCTTCCTCCCGGCCAAGTACTAGGGAAAAAAGGGCTTCTGCTAGCAAGGAATAATTTAAACACAAACTAGTATTGAACGAGAGGTTTACCTGATGTCCACCTTTTTTGGATACAGAATTTCTTTTTATTCTTATAGACACAATGCTAATAATACCTTCTAGCATAAGAACATGACTTACATAATAAAGCAGCAAGTTGTCTACATTGATTTGCCGTGAAATTGGCATTTCAGTACCTACCATTGTACTGGTACTACGCGGAATTATACCAATGATAATTTTCACAACTATCATTTTCATCTCCACTATCATCATCATCATCATCATCATCATCATCGCCATCTTAAGTGTGGCCGTCGTCATCATTATCCTTACGACTATTCTGTCTGAGGAGTAAGCGAGTTTCGTATTCATGGGCGGCCTAGGACGAGTGCTTGTTTTTACGCGAAAGTGAGGCTAATGCGGGTCACTTCTCACCAAGAAGACAAACAAACATGAAGAAACTGCGGCCGAGTTGCCGAAAAAAAGGACAATTTGAAGCATTGAAAGGTTTTGGAAGTCTCAAAGCTTATTTACAGGCTTGAGAATATATTGTTTCAAACAGCAAAGGGAAAATCAGTTCGTCATCACTAAGAAAAACAACGAGCCTAACCAGAATTTGACCGAAATAGTGGTCGGTGAGTGAGTTCAATAAAAAATGCGAGATGGTTTCAAAATCCTCAAACAAGGTAATACCTTGTAGCCATTTTAATGTTGTACGTACTTGTCGAAAGCCTGCAAGTTAAACTGAAATCTTCATAGTTGATATTTTTTTTCGGAGCGAATGCAAACTCTTGTGCTTTTGAAAAAAAAATAAATAAATAAATAAACTGACGGGGCAGACGTTCTGCATTAAATACCTTGTACTGTAAGAAGGTTAAATCGGTTTGAACGAAGATAACTAAAATAGTTTAAGTTTAGCTATACATAAGCTTACATTTAGCTCACATTATTTATCAAAATATTCAGTCACAAAGGAAAAACGTACGCACATTTCACTCGACAAGAACTCGAACACATAATTTTATACAGACGATATACTGCACAGTTTAAACTCCATTTTATAGATATACACAAGAGTAAAATAGAATTCTGAGAAGTAAGATAAAAAAAATTGGAATGTCATTTCAACGAACTTTACCGTTTTCATGCTTAAAAAGTTTTCTTCTTCCTTTGGCTTCGTCGCTTTTTACCTTTCTTCTTTTAAGTACGATCAGCTTTTCCCACAATTTTGTTGGTCGCAATAGACATCCCTTTGGCTTACTGATAAAGTTAAGGCTTTGAAATCTTACTATTTTTAAGATTTCTATCGTTTTCCAGCGACTCAGCGGCAAATTACCTATGTTTGTTTTTGTTTCTGCAAAGAAGTTGACCCGCATTAGCCACGGGATCGTGCTCGTCCCAGGGCCTTCGGGGAATACGAAACTTGCCTGTTTTCGTTCTTACCAGGTTTTATGTTGTCTTTCAAAATAGTGACATATTGGTCTCGGTCAGGACGAGATTGTTCGTGTAAATAACCTAAAGCATGTCCTGCAAAAAAGATATATATTATTTTTTATTATATAGACACGAGTGTTTTACTGGAAAATATACCACTCGTAAAATTCATAAAAACTACATCCGAGACCCGAGTGGTTTATTTTCCATAATCTCACGTGTGAGTTTATCGATGAAGTAATTTTGGTAATTTCGTGCTATTATTTTGTTGATGTCATTTTGTCTAAGTAATGAAAAGAACATTACACGGCGGCTTGAAGATATGAATGTTATTTTCTCGCGGCAAAAACAACATTTATTACTCGCTGCGCTCGTTCGTAAAATATTGTTTTGCCACTCGAAAATAAAAGTCATATGCTCGCGCCACCGTGTAATATCCTCTAAATAAATGCACCTAAATGGATGATTCCTACACCCTGGACGCCTGTGCGGATCAGCAGTCAGATTTTTGCCGCTGCGCTGGAGGTGTATTGAAACACTCTGACAGAATCTGATTGGCTGTTAGAAACAGCAAAAGAAGGAGGAGCTAAATAGACCTCTTTAGCTTCTATGTTCTGTTTTCCCAATACAGGCCATGTGAAAATACACTAGAGAACTGTTTCTTTCAAATTTTGATTAATTTGCGTGCATATTGTTGTGAATAATGTTATATTTGGTGGCGTATATATGAAGGATTATACCTCGTGACAACTACATGAAGTGGGCCCAAGCCCTTGATTATATATGCTCGCACGATCGTGATAAATTACTTTTCTTGCCGGTTTATACAAAGTTGATGTGAGTCTTAACACATATCTACGCATATTTTATGAAAAGACAAAGGGTCAAGTTTCTTTTGAACGTTTATTGGGAAAACAAAACATTCAAGCTAAATAGGTCTATTTCTTTGGCGGCTGTCTTGAAAATCATCCCAAACGATCAGACATCACAGTATACAGAGATGAGATTTTAGCCGTTAGCTTGTTTTGTCGTTCGTGCTGGAAAAAAATCCTTAAATTATCTGTGTGGCTTGGAAATTGTCCAAATTCATGTGGTTGTATATGTCTGAATATGGAAAGATCCACCTGAGAACTTTACGGCCGTGAGTCCTTTTTTCTGTCGTTAATAGGTACTTAAGCATACACCTTAATCAAAAAAGGTTCCTTTGGCAATTGGGCATTGGGCATTTGGGTATACAGAACAAAGCGATGATCTGCTTGAGTGATCACCCACAAGATCTTATTAGTGGGCAATTCCAAATGCTCAAAGCAACCTTTATTGAATTAGCAAAATGTATTAAGCAATATTCTATCCTATATTGCTGCTGCTTCGTCCGAAAGTGATTAAACACAATAACGGAATAATTACCGATTTCGTGAGCAACTATGCCCCTATCCCAGCAACCAAAACCTAGAGAAATGTCCTGACGTGATCCTATTTTACCAACCCAAGATCTACAACTGAATCAAAATATGGTGTAAAATTATAGTGATAAGAAATAGGTATTATACTCCAATCATGATCATCTACAAATCAAATATTTTTTTATAGAAAGAAATAGTCAAACAAGCAAGATAGAAAGCAAGAAAGGAAAAAAATGAGAGAGAGAGAGAAAAAAAGGAAATAAAGAACAAAAGGGAAAAAAACTTTAATAATTATTAGATACTGTTTTCAGATAATCTTACAGTGTCCGAAAGTTAGAAAACCTAAAAGACAAAAAAATTAAAAAAATTAAAAAAAAACCTCTCTCACCCCGAGCCAAATGTAAAATAGGCGTAATCCGTCTCAGTTGTTCGTTTTCTAAAGCGGATGCATGTCTTGCGGCTCCATTCATCCATTCCCGCCAAAATGGATGTCATCGCTTCAGGACGGTTAGCTAAAGGAAAAGTGGCATTAAAAAATAATTATATTTTAGTGTTATCAGAGAAAAAAAAAATTGATTGGTTGATTATTTTGGCACTTACATGCTCGACTAATAAATGTGATATCATTGAATTATTAAAAAGGCCTACCAAGTGTTGGTGAAATTTCGTAGATCAAAACTCCGCCAGGCCAAAGTGGACTTCTAATTGAAGCTCCCTGTTTGTTAGATGAATAAACGTCCAGTCCCATCATGGCATAGGCACGCTGCAAAGGCGTAAGAAGCATGTCTCCCTCAAATAAATTGGGATCTTCAATGTCACGATTTTCTGCAAATGTACCATTTATGCATTTAAAAGTCGCAAATAAGTAGAAAAGAAGCTAGCAAAGTAAAAGGCGCGTATGAGTCGCAGTTATTTTGAATTTGACGAACTGGGCCATTGTGATAATTGTTTTACGAAATTAAGAGTAAAAAAAACATACTAACACTGTGGGCAGATAATCCTAAAAATATTAATGGTTGGTGTAGGACCGAGTATTAGATACAAAAATGTGCTAAGTTGTCCTGCTGTTAAAACCTCCACTGGCTGAACGTTAATATTAACCGATGAATATAATAAATCAATTAAATCGAAAAGTAAAACTGTTGATTACCATCAGGATTAATTGGTGCGCTGAACACGGTTTTAATCATCAAAAGAATGGCGAAGACCTTCATAGTGGTTCTCGATATATATCTCGGTAAACTGAATTGAAAGATAAATCTTTATCAGTAAACGGTTGTACAAGCAATAAAAGTAATATTAGGCCAGTGAATAACTCAGTATTAGCACTTTGTTAGATAAAGAGAAACATTTAATAATCCTTTACCCTTACACAGGGCAAGGTTAAAAAGAGTCTTATAGTTATGTTTAATTTACTTTTCATCGGCAAAAATTGAATATAGATATTTAACTGTGTAGCAGATCCAAGACGTTTTAAATAGAACAGATATATATTTTTTAAAAGAGGAATATTATTTATCGGGTAAATTAGCAGAGGTGTTTTGAGAGTGGGCCATAAAAAAAAAATAAATAAATAATAATAATAATAATGATAATGATAATGATAATGATAATGATAATGATAATAAAAATAAAATTTCTTTCTTCCAGGAAGTATAACGTTGGGGCCAAACCACCCGCAAAAGGAATTATAAAAGCGTGGCAATTGTGGTTAATTTAGAATAATTTGGTAGCTTTAACACTTTCCTGAAAATACCAAACATCAGGCCAATCAAAATGGCTTATAGGATGTCACCAAATGTCAAATTATGCCATCATATTTGCTGACGTCATTCATACGTAAATTTTAAACTTTTGAATCTTCCAATTTTTTTACCGTTTTTGATAGAAATATTCAATGGAAGTTGAAAACTGAAAAAAAACCTCCAATATCTCAAATATGGGCTGAGATATGACTTTTTTAATTTGGGTAAATTCATAGCACAAAAAGGGGTATCCCCTAGTAAAATAAGTCTATTAATTTAAGAGTTATTTTGTCAAGTCGCCCTTGCTATCTAACTTACACATATTGCATCTTTACCATCGAAAGCTAAAGGAAAGAGAAAAAATTGAATTAAATTATTGTTTTTGAGTCAAAAAAGGAATGATACGACTTTGGCCAACTGTAAAAGGTTTGTGTTACCGAGAAATCAGCTTATTTTGCAAAAAAAAAACTGTGAGAAAAAAAAATATCATAGGGATCGTTTTTTAAGGAAAAGTACGGTTCCGGGGGTGCAATCAAATTTCTTTAGAGTCCCATACCTCGGGTTTTACGCACCAAAGCCAGAAACGATTTTCGCTGTTTTACTCCTCTTCTGAAGTTCTTTCAGATGATATAAGTTTGGCCTTGAAATTAAAAACTGCATTTAACTCATTTTGGTGACGTCTGCCGTTGTGACGTCACAATTTGACATTTTGCGTCCAACAAAAACTTAATATTATTTGGTCAACAATCGTAGTTTATCTGGCGAGTTTGGTCAAGAAATGAAAAAAGATGTAAAAGATACGTAAATTTAGCCTTAATAAGACATTTGAGGAGTGGTTTGGCCCCACGTGATTCGATTGACAGTATTCTGGAATAAAAAATACATTAATTCTGACTAAATATTTCATTTGCTTTAGCACTCATTGCATTGCCATGTCCATAAATCTCCATAAAATAAAGTATTCCGGTGTATGTAGTGTTTAGGGGTTCAAAATTATATTTTGTTCTAAACACTATTTTCTGGAGTGTTTTACATCTATTGCAGACTAAGGAGTTAGTAACAAATTGAGCTAGTAAATAATGGTACCTGTACCTTTGCTAAAGTTTCAACAGGGACCTCGAAACTGGCGAGTACCCAGTTTAGTCAAACTGTGAAGGACGACTAGCGAGTAACTTTTCTTCACTTGAAGAATTTTGCCAAATTAAACGCCTATTTATAGGTCTAAGTCGTCGATACAGACTCTTCTCTAAAATAGAAATAAAGGAACTACAATCTCAAGAGTTAAAACATAAAATATCCAATATAACCAAATTAACGTCTTATTTGATATGATAAGTGTTACTGATATAATATTACTATTTTATTTATGGTGAGTAGTGTCATGATATGATATTTATATCTTATTGATGGTGAATGTCATTATATGGTATTAAAATAATGTAAAACCTTCGTCTACACGCAACGCACCTGATAAATATAAGTTGTTGTCTTCTTCATTTGTCCATCCTTCTTACTCATTTTATTTCTGATAAAATATCGCGTTTCTATTTTTATATGTATCTGAAGCATTTTTATATTATCTTGTTTTTATCGGCAATGATGTTTTTATGTTAACCTGCTACGGAAAGTAAATGAGGTAAACATGTTTTAACTGGCTGAAATTTTGCTCTGCAGTTTTTACCGTAGTGTAACCGAAAAATAACATAACTAACATTCGCTGAGGGACCAGGTGTACTAAACTCCTTCTTCTGAAGCCACCTATATGTCTCCGCACCTCAAATTAAAACAACAAAAAAAATGATCATTGGCCAACTGTTCGCTCAAGGTGGTAAAAAAGACGACAATATCCTTGCTGGGATACATTTCGTCAGTAATGCCATTTTCAAAGGGTATGAGGTAATTGTTTAAAATTATTATTTCCAGATCAAACACTTGAGGACTAAGGAATGCAAGTCATGAGAAGGTGTAATTGATACGAAGAAACATTACCTGTGACGTGCTATATACACATATCCACATTTTTTTGTATTTCTTTCGCCCATCTCCTTACAAATTACACTCGAGAAGCGGGCAGATTTGGGCGACTTTAACAAATCAAGAGCGGCGCAATTTCTTTTAAAAATAACACATAACGACTATTTCAAAGCCATGTGAGCTGTGCGTTAATAATCTCCTGTAACCCCTTTATGGCTCCTGCAAGAATTATGAAAGCGCACTATGTAAATGCCCCCACATCTATTGGCTTTTATCAATGCATGGGTTTCCCATACTCAGCACGTTTTCAATCACACAACATGCAATTAAAGTGAACTCGCTTTCTTCTTATCCGCTGTCCTAGTATCACAAGTATGAAAAGTATGAAATGTTTCTTAGAAAATCACAAGGATAGATACTATGTTAAAAGTCAACAGAATTTCGTCGCAAAGTTCTTTTAGTCTTCGTGAGAGTTTCTCATTCTCCAACGTCGTAGAAACGTTAACAGTTTATGTATGGTTAAGGTTACAACAACAGAGAGTGTAGCTCTGTTAAACATCACAAGTTCCTCGTGCTCAAAATGCTGAGGCATGCCCAGTTCCTGTTGCCGCAAAGAAACATTAAAGCACAAACTAAATAGTGAGTAAATTAAAGCGACACCTATGTGCACGTCCCGGTTTGAGGCATTGCCCGAATGGCGTTAACAGTAGTTAATTGCTTCTTATTCAAAGCTAGTGTTATCGAAACACTGGTGTCATGATACTTTGTACTTTCACTAAACAGGAATACAGAGTCGTCAAATGAAAGGACCAAGACAAATTCTTATTCATATCATAAAACCATAATGATAGGTCCAGTCACTTTTTACTTAAGTCTTAATGTAATCATGACTGTACGATAGAAAAAGTATTTCGGTGAAAACGGAAAATAGAATTTTTATTCTTAAAAAGAAAATATGCTAATAAAAAATAGATTTCCGACGGTAACTTGAGGAAAAAGAAATTTATCCTTTTTTAAAGATTTGAATATCATCATTTTAGTTATTGATATATTTATATTCAACGCGAATTTAGAGGTTTGTTAGATCTATAAGGGTTCTTGATTTGTTTGGCTTTAATTCTAATCTAATTAGCCTTTATTCTAATCTAAGACCATTTGAGGCAAAAAACGCAATATGTTAACCGAGTGTCTTCGCATTTGTTAAAATTTACAACATTTTTGTGTAGTATCTCCGAGTCCTTTCATTTATTCGTTAGTTTGTTGGAAGTGATTTCTAATTTGTCGTCAGCCCCACCATTCCTGAAGAGATCTTAATCAGTGCATTTTATCATTGGTTTCTAATAAAAACGTCACACAAGGGGCCATTTATCCCGGAAAGTTGGTATTTCTTTCTTGGGTCATCTCTTTAGCAAACCAGTGCACCACCACGCAGAGGTCTCGATCGATTTATTAAACTCAGCTTGGGGAGACTCGCAATAAAAACTATTTTGACCGCTGTAATGAAGGTCAACAGATATTATTTAAAGATTGTTTGACTATAAAATGTTCATCCTTTCCTTGGAGGTACTTTTAGTAGTTTCAAATTTCTTTTAGAAGAAATCTATATCTGCCAAGTTCTGCTCTACATGCACATTGGACGACTTGTATTATGTACTTCTGAATAGCGTTGAGAGAATTTAAAAAGTGTTTTTCAATTCCAGAGTCATCCCACGACCTTAAAATCTGATTTAACAAAGACACAATGACTTCACTATTGTATGTAAGAATTAACTGAATCATTGAGTCAATACTTTACACGCACTAAGGTCATCGTGTACTGTACATCGTACTGTGTTCCTAATGAACAAAATCATTCATCGGTTTTAAGCAATTCCAAAAGCTCCGGCTGTTCGAATCATCTACTGTTTTTTCAAGTTCAGAAATCTTAGATGATAGTGTTTTCCTGTTTTCTTTCAGAAGGCTTTTTACTGCTATACGAGGGTGTCAGATTTTTCCTACGTAACCCGTGTCGTTTCAGACGACAATCAAGAAATTTGTCGTTAGGTGCCCCTGTATATTCCTCCATGTCGGGAATTTCACTGATAGAGAGCCGACGTCAAAGCCATTAAGTTTATCTGATCACAGTCCAATAATGGCATGGGCTTAATATTAATAAGCGAAACAAAGAAAAACGAAAACAAGAAGGAGGAACTTTCCGCGAAGAATTGAGAAAGGCATTCACCTTGTTGCATTTCGATGAGTCTAATCAAATGTTTTGACACAGTTTATAAACACTGAGCTACAAAAAATAACAGCGATACATTAATTTTCTGTAAAATATCTGTTTGGAGAAGCGAAAATTTCCCAGAATTTTCTGTACCTTGAGGAAGGCTAACAATTTCTTGATGACCGTTCCATTCGTGTAAATTTTCAAAGCTAATCTAATAAATTCCCTGGGATTTTTTAATTTTTCGCATTTCATTCCACAGATTAAGCTACTGTTTTTGCAGAAAAAGGAAACCTATAATTTTCGGGTTTGAAAGAGAATCAGAAAAATTCTCACCTTCGTAAAACCTTAAATTGCATCTTAAATTTTCGGGAAAATAACACTGAACCCCTCAACTGGTAATTTTCGAAAAGACTCAAGTTGCCCTGGGATGACCCAACAGATATAAATTTTATAGCGCCGATTGGAATGTTTTCCTAAAGATCTAAAATTGCTCTGGATAGCCTAAAAAGTGTTTTTAATGCGTTTAGAAAGAAACCGTCGCTGGGTGCCTTTTAATTAATCTTGATCTGATATGTAGTATATAGTCAACTGATTTCTGATGAAATGTGAGTCTTCTCAATGAGTCACTAGATCATTCGACCATTCAGAATCCATAGCTCTGTACTCCTACAGAGGTTTAAACTCCTGTTTAAACCGTTATCAAATCTATCCCACTGAAAGGCGAATAGGGAGAATTGAGATTAATCAGTTATCATTAATAATCGAGTTGCCCTCTTGACAAACATTGTCTGGGTATTTACCTGTTCTAGAACTGAAATCTCCCATGAGTAGAATTGATCCAAATGAAGTGACGAAAAGCACTTAAGGTAACTTGTTGAGTCCACTGGGGACCCAGGACAAGGATCACGGCGCTGCATCGCAGACGTAACTAACGGGGGTTACGTCAGGTCTGCGACGAATGTTCAGCTACTACCTGTGGGCAGGTTTTCAGAATAAGCTCTTTGATCCGGACCGTCAGACTGACCAGTACAATGCGTGCCTTGTTGTGTAAACATTTCGAAACCCGTCGAATACGCAGAATAAATTAAAGTATTGTCTAGGGGACAGCATCTATTCTTAGATCGTGTCAGTATTGTATTTTTGAACATACTATGACAGTCGAACAGGATTGTTTGCGCAATAACGATCACTGTAATCGTCCATGATGGTAAAGTAAAATCACCCATAGCGCTCTATCCAAATTGATTGACCACCAAAAGAAACCATTCTTCCCGGTGCTAAATGCATCAAAATGTTACTCTCAATTATATATACCGAAAAACATATCTGTATATGCAATATTAGCTAAGCTCTATGTGTTGCAATTTTGTACATGTATATCTGGAAATGATACGTGAACAATAACCTCACAGCCTGTAAAAATGTTATCAGGACACATATTAAGATATTGATTATCACTTCAAGAATATTTTATGTTTTACGCCACTGATCGTGCTAATCAACACTTAGCCATTGCTCATTTTTGCGTCTTAAGTGAAAGAGCGGAGAAATGTAGTTAAAGTGGCTCCGAAAGAAGGAGTTAGGGACACTTTGTTCCGCAGTGATCGTTGTTATGTTGTTGTTGTTGTTGTTTGTTTGTTTTTTTTTTCTCGTTATTTTAATGGTAAAAAACTGCAGAGAAAAATTCCAGCTAGTTTAAACAAACATGCTTAGCTCATTTACTTTCCATAACAGGTTGCCATAACAACAACATCGCCAGATTAAAAAACAATAAAATATAAAAATTCTTAAGATACAAATAAAAAAAGAAACTCGATATTTTTCAAACTGCAAGCTTTCACGACCACACGTACAGCTTATACAAAGTCGAATGATCCAAAATTGTCAATACGAACAAAATGCAATTCCAGAGTTCACTTGAACCTTCTTTCAGCAATAACTAGTCTTTAAACAATTGTTTGCATAATGAGTCGTTTTAGGATAGTTGAATGTAATTCTCACATCAAAATTGTTATTCTTAGTCAGTGTTGCAAATACGATAATGGATACAAACATAGCTACACCAACAGCGAGTTTTATTATCTTCCATTACTTGGCAGACTGTTTTAACTGGGCGATATATCACAGGGTTTGGCAAATTAAGACGACAGTCACTTAGGCAAGTGCTTTGTAGACGTTGTTTTATAATTACTTTTAATACCATATAATGACACTTCCCCTAAACAAGATATTAATTTGGTATTCAATTGATAGTTAATGATATTTTGATGTCTGATCATGAGACTCTTGAGTTCCTAATTCCCGTATTTCTATTTTAGACAGGAAGCTTTATCGACGACTCCTCCTATAAATAGGCGTTTTGGCGTAGTCAACTATTGAAGCAACGTCCTTTGCTAGTCTGCAGATTGACAAAAAGTACGTACGCTTTAGTCTCGAAATTCCTGTTTAACAGTTTTCGCAAAGATACAGGTAAATATCTATCTTAAGTTTTGTTAATATTTATTTATTTTTGTGCCCTGGAAATAAGTCTGCCATCCATTATATATGTAGTAAGATATTCATGATCAATATTTTCTTTTGAAAAGTATATAGTTTACACAACTATTAGACTATGTTAACAGTGCCCTGTGTAAGGGTAAGGATTAGATAAACCTGTTTTCAATGTTTGCTCTACAGGTAACCATGTTTAAGGGCGTTTTCCAAAAGTCAGAACTGGCAGGCTGGACCATGGCCGGACCGGTCATTTTGAAAATGAAATAGGCTTTTTCCAAGAGTTTTTGATCAAAAACGTTTCCTTCGTGCATACTATTTAGGATTTGACTGATCTGGTTGGATAGTGTTGATTAAAAGTACAGTTCTCATTACAACGGGAATGTCCTAGCCGGTCAGTTCTGACAATGGAAAGCGCCCTAAGTTATTCAATTGCCCAATGTTGCTGTCGTTGTTTATCCAACCTATTTTTTTCCTTTTAATTCAGTTCAACGTGATATACAGTGTACATCAAACTCCACGATGAAGGTCTTCGCCATTCTCTTGATGAATAAAACAGTTTTCAGCGCACCAATTAATCCTGATGGTAATCAACAGTATTTAATTCTCAATTTGATCATTTTAAAGTTCAATTATTCCAGATGGTAATAACAGTAGGGCACCTTTAAACTGTTTTGTATGCAATGATAATCTACTTAAGGAGTTAGAATGAACTTTTTTTTTGGCTAGTTCTTCACCATAATTACAATATCATAAGCACCTCCTACCTAAAATGCAAAAAATGCTACTTTTGCAGAAAATCGTGACATTGAAGATCCAAATTTATTCGAGGGTGACATGATCCTTACTCCAGAACAGCGTGTTTATGCCATAATGGGACTGGTTTTCTTTGCATCTAACAAACAAGGAGGCTCATGGACAGGTCCCCTTTGGCCTCGCGGGGTTTTAGTCTACGACATTTCACCAGCGCTAGGTGGGCCATTGTTTCTACCTTTTTCTAGCGGCGCAGGGAAGTGCCACAATGACCAACCGATCAATAAATGGTTTCTCTAAGTAATCTAATATTTTTGATACCACCTTTCCTTTAGCTAACTTTACTACAGCAATGGCGTCCATAATGGCGGGAATGGATGAATGGACCACAAAGACTTGCATCAGGTTTAGAAAACGAACAAATGAGACGGATTACGTTTATTTTACAAATGGCACGGGATAAGAAGGGGTTTTTCACTTTCTCTTTTCTTTCTTTCTTTCTTTCTTTCTTTCTTTCTTTCTTTCTTTCTTTCTTTCTTTCTTTCTTTCTTTCTTTCTTTCTTTCTTTCTTTCTTTCTTTCTTTCTTTAAACTTAATTTCAGATTCCGTAAGATTATCTCATATAAAACAGTTTGTAATAATAACTGAAATAAACTGGTTTTGTTGTTGTTGTTGTTTTTCCTGTTCCTGCTCCTCCCTTCTTTTCTTCAGGCTCGGCAAGGGGTTTTTGTATCCGGGTATCCTTGCTTTTTTATTCAGATATACGGTATTCTGGTGTCACATTACGGATATAAAGTATCTCCGTTTTCTAAATTGTCGGTATTTGATACTTAGGCAGACGTTTATGTATATTTTTTTTTTCACATATGAATCTATGTTGACACAGTGATCGAAATATGCTGATCACTGAGAAGTAGGCCAGAGGCTGGCACACGGACAGCGGAGCTATGGGGAATTTGCGTTGTTTTGCTTTGGTTTGTTTTTGGTTTGGTTTGTTTGTTTTTTGCTTTGCAATAGTACTCGTAATCTTTGTGTTAAAGGAAACAAAATTTTCTTTGTTAAATTTACGTTTTTTGCAAAAAATTACAGAATGTTGATAAAAATTTATTCAAAACTTTCTCAACGGATTAAAAGAAATAAACGCGATCTTGCAATTGATGATTCCGGAGGCTCTAAAGTTTCAAAATATTTCCTGGGAGCATGCGCGACCCAACCTCATCAATCTAAAATATGCCCCGCAGTCAAGCTAATTTTAGGTATTTGGTATCAACGAGTTTACAATTTTAAGGTGGATTGGTATCCTGCATGAGGAAAGATCGGGTATATTGGTATCCCACATAGATGATTAAAGACTTTTTTTGTTGTTGTTTTTGTTTTTTTGTTTTTTGTTGTTGTAGTTGTTTTTTTTTTTTTTGCCAGCACTAACGACTAAGCTAGCAAAAAATTTCCCCTCTGTGTACTGTAATACCGGATCATTGGCGAAGATTTTCAAGAAGGCAGCGCGAGAAATTCAGCTTCTTCTTCTTCATTCTAACTGCCAATCAGATCCTGCCCGCGCAGTGTTTAACAGCTAATCAGCGCTGTGACAAAAATATGGCCACAACAGCACTGGCGTTTAGGGTGTACGATTCATCCCTCGAAGTGAATTTATAAATATATTTCTTTTTGCAGGACATGCTTTGGTTTTTTCCCACGAACAATCTCGTCCTGATAGGGACCAATATGTTACCATTTTGACAGAGAACATAACACCTGGTAAGTACGAAAACTCCTCGAGTGGAATAGTCGTAAGGATCGATAATGATGGCGACGTCCACGACGGCGACGACAATGATGATGATGATGACAGTCGTAAAAAAATGTTGTCAATGTTGATTAATCATCAATTCCGCTAAGTAGGACTGGAAATACGAATTTCACAGAAAATCAGAAAAGTTCCTCCTTCAGTGTGTAAATCATGTTCTAATGCTACATGGTATTTTTAAGCATTATTTCTGTAAAAAGAAAAACAATAACAAAACAAAACAAAACCATAAAACAAAAACCAAGGACTTCTGTATCATCAAAACAAGGTCAACATTAAACTCGCGTTCAATTAAAGGTGAGGTTTCTGTTCAAATCATCATCCAACATTTATGAAAAGGAGCTATCATCAATAAAGTAAAACAAAACTAAGGGTACGGATCGACGAGCAGTTCTTATTTGACAGCTTAAGTATCCCATGTACACATACTACATCCAGCACGTTGTGTTCATTTAATTAATTATTTATTTATTCCTTTTTCGTTTATCTTTCCCAGTGGAAGAGCTTATTCAATAAATTGTGATTGAAACGTTTTTCGTTTTAGGGGCTATAAACAACTTCAAAAAATACGACAAATCAGTTATTGATTCCCTTGGAACACCGTACGATTACGAAAGTGTAATGCATTACTCACAGTGCGCATTCTCTAGGAAGGGTTGCCCACAATAATGGTTAAACAGAAAGGGGTACGTACACGGCAAATTAAGTTTATCTACATGTCTCTAGAACAATCTCCATGCAAATAATACAAATTGTTTTAAGATCAAGAAAGCTTTTACACTGTACCTGATTGCAAATTCAAAATTTATTTTTGCGCATTTGAGCATATTTGCATGTGTGTGACATGCATAGAATAAGTCATTAAATTATCAAATCATTATTATTTTCCTCCTCTTTAACTCTTAATGGCCTTTAATTAAAATCGACATGAATCAACGTGTGGCAGATTATTGGAATTGTCTTCAGTGTCTCCGTGCCTATTTGATTCTTTCCTCCCAATTTCTTTGCAAGAAAACTTCAGTCAGTTAGTCACTTGGCAAGACGCAGTCAACGTTTCTTTGCTCTTAATGATTAAAAGACAACGCGCTTTCTTGTCCTCGGATAGATACAAAAGGAATTCATTTGACATTAAATTTTCCAAATAATATAAATGATTGAAAGGGAAACAAACACAAGCAAAATCTTATCTAGTTCCAGAATGTCATTGGCCAGCGAAAAGGATTAAGTGCCACAGACGCAGATCAGGCAAACAAACTGTACAGACAATGTGGTATGTATTTTCTTAAACTGTTCTTAAGACAGTGGAATTGAGGACGAAAAATAATAATAAAGAAAACAAATATTAGATAACTCTTATTCTACATTGTCCAAAGAACTCTATTTTTTTTCCTCGTAAGTTCGTCGAAATAGAGCGCTTTGCGTTACGGGGGGGGTAACTCATGGATGCCGTGTACAATATGTGAAAGCAAGATGGCCCCCCGAACCAGAAAAATCTCGATCCTGTCGAAGTTACTTTGAAATTGAAAACTGCTTTAGTATCAACAGACAAACATACAAAGTGACTGTTTTATTGTTTTTCTTTGCAATTACTACCAAACCGTCATGTGCGACCACCTCTCATAAATAGTATCCAAAAAACCAAAGCATTTCCGTTCAAAGCCTTACAGTTGGAACATTTCGTAATAAATGACCCTCTCTTGGGCTAAACGGTTTAATAATTTCCTTTTTGTTGTTAAGCTCTTGTAAGCGATCACTCAGCCATGGTCTGATCTATGTGTCCGCTGTATGTACCATGCTTACTTGGAGTGTAAGAAGAACTTTTAGAAGCAACATGGAACTACACATAATGCAACTTAGAAATTGCATGCAATAAATTATCCAAGTCAGTCTTCCATAGAGTATGACGTCTTCTTGGAAAAAAAAAAAACCTTCTGTGATTCGTTTCTTCTAAACGACCACCGCCCGTAAGCAACCACTAGGTCTTCACATTTTGGTTGGTTCCTTACGGGAGATTCGACGGTATCATAAATCACGTTTTGAATGTCCAGGGTATATTAATGGAATATACTCATTGACATGACACCTCCTTATGGGCTGCTTTGTTGAAATGTCACGTGCCAGACACACGGTAGAGCGGTTCATACTCCTCACAAGAACAAACAAATAAGGAAAGAAAGAGAAAAACTTCATTTTGTTATATTTCAGTTATCGGTTAATATTTGAAATATCAGCTTGGCATGGCTAACTCGGTGTCTAAAACTGAATTTATAGTTGAATATACATCTATCACTGGGGCTCTGTGCCGGCTGTTTAGTAGATTTTAGGGCGTTTTACCATCGACGACGGCAACGGCAGCTAAGACGTCACTTTTAAAACGAATTAACGTTTTTTTTCAAACTTTGTCGCTTTCTTTTCCAAGTTGCTGTAATTGTCCTATGTAGGGAAATTTCCCTAGAGTTTATTCCTTGGGGACCGCACTTGAGTTTAGAAAGAGAATGAAAAGAAAATTTCGTCGTCACTTGTTTAGGACGTCCTCCATAAAACGTGAAATTGGGCATTTTCACGTCGTAATCGTGCAGTAACGGCAAATACATGTGCAAAAAAGCGTGACACACGTGTAAACTTATTGTTTTGCTTAATAAACCTATTGCTTTTTTGACGTTCTCGTTGCCGTCGCCTTCGTCGTTGCTAAAACTCCCCTTCTTGTTAATAATGCCAAGTACGCGTCGTTATTCGCTATGGAACTTGAGAAATTACTTGCATTGTAAACGGCAAAATTACAGCTTCATATCCAATAAAAACTCCTCCCAAGCGTTATTTCAAACGTTACCAAACACAAAATCAGTTTTAATCTTCTTCAAGTTTGCCCATTCGTGCTTCCTTTTCTGTTTGTGGTGTTATTTAATAGGGACGACGACGGCGACGGCAAACAGGACGTCAAAAAAGCAATAGGTTTATTACGCAAAACAACAACTTTGCACGTGCATCACGCTTTTTTGTACATTTCTTTACCGTCCTTGCACGACTACGACGTGAAAATGCCTAATTGCATATTTTTTTATGGAGGACGTAAACAAGCGGCGACGGATCTCTTTTTCCCTATCTAAACTTGAGTGCGGTCCTCAAGAAATCAACTCCAGAGAAATTCCCCTACACTTGCCATTTTCAGCAAATTGGAATAAACGGGACAAAGATTGAAAAAACGGGAATTCATTTTAAAACTGACGTTTTTGCTGCAGTTGCCGTCGTCGATGCTAAAGCTCCCTATTCGCCCCGTGTAAGGGAGTCCAAGACTGCCTTGGATTATAAATCCCATTCCATGGATTCCATGTTCCAGTCTTTTTCAGTGGAACATGGATTCTGGATTCCATTCCTCAGTGGGATTCCGGATTCCTTGAGCTGTATTCTGGGTTCCAAAGCCCAGGATTACGGATTCAAAGAGCAAAATTTTCCCGGAATCCGGATTCTTCAAGCCAAGATTTCCCACATTCCGGAATCCGGATTCCTTTACATGAGGCGATATTTATACATTCTTTTCATTTTTTGAGTCGTTATTTTTTATATTTCACTCAGTTTGGTGGCGGTTCCCACTGTTTGAATTTTGAGAAATTTCTTGACACAGCTCTTTTAAGCGGCCGTGATTTTTTATCATCTCTCCTATCCTCTCTCATTAGCCTGATGCCCTGATTGATCCGAACAAAGGAAAACAGCATGCACCAGGTAAACAGCTAGATCTATAGCTACAACTAGGCATCAGTAACATCATAATTATCATAATAAGCTCTAAATAGCTAGATATCAGTTGAATACTTTGGCAATTTAACAAATCTACATCATCTTGGGTATCGGTAAAACGTCGAACTTTAAAGGAGACGAATTAAAATGCGATTAGGTTCAACTTTAACCCTATTCAGACCCGGGGGGGCCTTTTTGGGCTTCCCCTTTCCCGCTAACAAAGTTGAATAACTTCAAAACTGTTAAAACTATTACCACCAAACTTAGCGACTTTTTCTAAAAAATTCTGGGAACATTTCAAAGTCGTCTTGGCGTGTAGGTCAACATTGACGTTGCCACGAAAACCGAATTATGACAGCTATGTTTTCACAAAAAGGACTAATTTGTATTTTTACTAATTAAATTATAGCATTACACTTAACTTAGAGATATTTTATCGAATTTATTATGACTGTTAGTGTAATCCAGGCTTTTTAGTGACAGATTTAAGACAAAAGATGCGAATTCAAAATGAGCAAATAGCAGATATTGAGTTCGATTTTTACCAGGGAAATATTTTGAATGAATTGTGACAGGAAAAGTTCGCTGTGTAACCAACATTAAAACGCCCAAACAATTAAAGGTCCATCAGAGTTGACTTGATTTAAAGTACAGGTCATTATTAGACCTTTAATTTTGGAGTACGTGCATTGTACATGTTTGATTCACTTCTTCGTGTACTTTTACCACTAAGACTGTATGGAAAAACAAAAACAAAAGAAAAAAAAACACAAAAAAAACTAAGACAAAAACAATTCAACAACTGCAACAACAACATCGAAATTGTTGCTTTCACTAAATGTAATAAACTTGGCCACTGATAATTTTTGTTACTTAGTGGCGAAAATTTGATATATATATATGAAAATGCTAGGCAGAAATGGAAACATTAACTAAACCACCTTTGCCTTTCATTTCAGAATTATACAAGTGGACTCAAATTCGTGACTTATCTTACACCATTACATCAATATAGAAGGAATCATAGAGATGCACAAGGGTAGAGGGTTTAACTCGACTGATGTAGTCAATGAGTACATCAATAAAGGAAAAGAGTTTTGGGAAATATTATTTTCTCTCGTTGCTGCGAGGCCTAAACTATTTAAAACCATAATATTCTAGCGTGTGTCTGTCGCAGATGTAATGTAATCTCGACTTGTCATGAGTGGTTTTTACCGTATATTAAACTGTTTTTAAGACACGCAGTGTAATTATTGACTGTCAATAATGTGGTGCAATACTGAGGAGTTTCCCTCACTGATCTCACATTAATAGAGACAGGATGTATTCGTGGTTATTTCTCCCGATAAGACCTGAGTTTTCCTGGCCCTCCTCGCTCCGATAAGATGCGCAACAGGACTCATTCTCCAGGCTGTAAGCTTGAAAATCTCACCTTATAATCATACTGCTTCTTCCAGCAGGCGGCTGTCGATTTTTAAAGAATCACGTGAGAGACTAAACATCAAGTCAACTGGTAGAATAGATGACCGACCGAACCAGGCCTGCGAACTGCACTTGCGAGGTGGTCCAACAGTTTCTCAAGGGCTTTCTGATGTCGTTCCCCTCAAACAAAAGGTTGTGGAGAAGGCACTGATCCATGTTTAGAGTGTACTTGATTTTACGCACCGCTCGGGCCACACTGTCAGGTTCTTGCTTGCAATAACTGAAAGAATTGGTGCGCTGTTCGTGAAAAATTTTGGTTGTACTGCGGTAATACCCCAGAAGGCCCATACTTTCCAAGGGTAGAACTGCCTCAACCTTTGTTGGATCTAATCGTCAACCTGAAGCAAAAACGATTTGTCTTTGGCGCAAGCTTTGTCCCATGGGCACGCAGATATTAAAGCACTTGTCGGATTAATTAATTAATCTGTTTTTTCAAATGTTTTTTCTGTAGA